TTGCAAAAATAAAAATAATTGTCGGATGTTAATGAAACTTTCAAAAACTATTCAGAGATGATCGAAATTATTATACATATGTTTTTTTTTTATAAAATTCACGGTAGAAATATTTTTTTAATATTTATTACCCCCTCCCACCATAACTAATTTTATGAAAACGCTAGAAATTCGATTGCATCGGGTTTAGTGATTACAATAGTTAAAAGCACAAGGCTTTGAGAAATGCAAACCATGTTTTTTTTGTTGTTAATTGGACCCCCCCCTACCTGAAAATCAGCTCTGAATTGTAACATACAAAACTCAATAAAACAAAGATATTATTTAATTTCAAATGCTTTTATTTGGTTTTAGTTGTTTTTATGAATATGGACATTTTCTGAAAGCAAAAATTTTTTTCGATTAAAAATTAATTTTTAATAAAATTATTTGTTATTTCTTAATTATAATAGATTTTTACATTTAAATTTTTAAAATATTATAAAATTAGTTAAAAGCCACATCGGGCTTCCTAAGTCTCCTTATAAGATAGATCTTTTTTTAGCGCGTTGTAAATTGTATCATTTTGACTTATCAGAAGATCCGCAGTAATTAAGAAATGTAATTTTGTGTTTATAATCAGGCTGTAATTATACAGTACGGAAGACCAACCAGAATACAATTAAGTTGTGTTATTTGAGTTAAGCATTGTTCTCCGCTGTTAAGACCTTTACTTTTGAGAAACGCGGGCATTTTTGAGAGGAGTTGCTACTTTTACTTTGTCAGATTTATCGGGCTTACATATTTATGACAGGAGTAAGTAGTCATGTTATCAGCATAACCAACTGATAACATCTTGAAGAGTCCAAATTCAGCTGAGTTCACTTTTGTGGCTCGATTATGTACTTGGAGGCTTTGAGGTTACCTTCTGGGAAAACTCTCGAGGCATGTAGCTCTTTAATTGATCTGAGGTGAGACCGAGTACAAAACGTACTTTGATATCTTTTATGGTCAACTCAGTATATATATATATATTGATTAGCACAAATCAGCATTTCTTGATCGACATTAAGTTCGAATCAAACTTCTGGTATTTCCTCGAGTTAATCTTATACGACATTAGTAATAAAATCTTTGGCTATAATCCAGGCTTCAAGCAACAAGGAATAAAAGAATTAGTTACATTGTGGGATTTTATCATTGCGAATAATAATTACGTTCATGAGAAATAATTGTTTGTTACATTTGAATGGCTTTTAATTTCGTTTTCAAAAATGTGAGATTACTGTGAAAACAATCTAATATATCTCTTGTGTGATAGCAGGGTTTTCCGGAGTCCAATATTCGCCATAACGGTAAACTACTTCCCGCGTCTTATTTCTTCGAGAACGGCTGTCTCGAGAGTAGGAAGAAACATTTCCGAGAAATTCTATCAGCCGTTTCTAATTACTTGTCGTTCCAAATCGTTCGCACAAGAGAAAGAAAGGCGTGCGGCGTGAGAATGGCGGGGAGTATGAAGTGATACGTATATGGGGGGAGGTCGACCTGACGATTCCAATATTTGTAGGGTTAATTTCGACTCACGAGAACTTGCGAGATTTTGTTATGAGAGGATCGGAAATAAAATCAAAGTTGAGAAGGCGGAGACAGGAAAAGAAAATAGAATTCAAGAAAGGCAATTCCGAAGAACATCAGAACATAATCACGTTTATTTATTAAAATAAATATATATATGTGTGTGTGTGTGTATAATAAACAAATATGCATATTATTACTATAAACGTTATTTGAAGCGGGTACACATTTTTGGGTCGGTTTCTTTGTTTCTTTATTTTTTCCAACAGTGGAATTAATAACAATTGGCCTATATCGAGAGTCTTACTAAGAGAAAAATTGTCCCCATCAACAGGATTCGAACCTGTATCTCTTTTTTTTTTCCTGACGGAGAAAACGCTGCTCTACCTTAAACGTGCCGCTACCAATTTGTCCACAGTAAATTTAATATATATATATATCTAAATAGGTCAAGGTCTGGTCACTCCTCCTACCCCGATATAAAGCACGCTTAAGAGAGATATGAAATTAACCCCTCCCTATACTCTACCTTGTCTCTTTAACTATCCCCCTCACCCCCATGTTAAATTACATACACTTACGCTACCCATCAATTTTTAATCTCATTTTTCCTTTCATTTCGTTGTTGGAAGTGTTACCTGATGATCCGGAGTCCTTTAAAAGGATTTTGGTGAAATAAATTATTGTAATGGTACCTTAAAGCGGTTTGTTTTTCATTAAATATATATATATATATATATATATATATATATATATATATTAGTAAACATAGACAAAAGGGAACCTTTTCTTAGCTGACGCGTTTCATCCTCTTAGGGAGTTTATTAAGGCAACTTTTAATTAAGGCAAACGAGAGCAAAAATGTTATTGGTTTTTCAAAATGTTTAAGTTTAAGAACGCTCATAAATATTCATCAGGTTAGCTGAAAAGCCAGGCAAACTATGGAGGACATAAAGTGACACAATTCAATGTCTAATAAACAAAAGTGAGTAATTTATATATATATATATATATATATATATATATATATATATATATATATATATATATATATGTGTGTGTGTGTGTGTGTGCAAATTCGTATTTAAATTATTTCGGATTGGCATTGATTTATGATGTATATTTTTTGAATAACATGAGGTGATGGATTTAAGCATTTTCTTTTAATATTTTTCGTTGTCATCAAAAAATCCTTGGCGCAGATTTATATTTTGATAAGATTCAAGAGTGGCAATTTGTCTTCTAAGTTAATTTAATTCTTTTTTAATAAACATGGAATAATTTATCGTTGAATTTGTGGTTGAATTTATTTATATGTATTTGATAAACTTTTGTGTATCATGTCTCTTTTTTGTTCATAGATATGTCTTTTTTTCCATTTCTACAAGTTTACCCAAAGTGATGAACGGTTCTGGCAATTTAATTTTTCATATAACTACTTCAGAATTATTATTGTTATTAGTTGCAGTTTAAAATTATTATAGCATTCTATTTAAAAGCACTAGATATCTACAGTTTATAAATGTTATAGCATTCTATTTAAGAGCACTAAATATCTGCAGCTTATAATTACTATAGCATTCTTTTGAAGAGCACTATAAGGCTGCAGGTTATAATTAATATAGCATTCTATTTAAGAGCACTAAATATTTGCAGCTTATAATTATTGTAGCATTCTATTTAAGAGCACCAAATATCTGCAGCTTATACATATTATAGCATTCTGTTTAAGAGCATTAAATATCTGCAGCTTGTAATTATTACAGAATTCTATTAAAGAGCACAAAATATCTGCAGCTTATAATTATTATAGCATTCTATGTAAGAGCACTAAGTATCTGCAGCTTATAATTATTATAGCATTCTATTTAAAGGCTCTGAATGGCTGCAGCTTATAATCATAGCAATCGATTTAAGAGCACTAAATTTCTGCAGCTTAAAATTATTATAGCATTCTATTTAAGAGCACTAAATATCTGCAGCTTATATTTATTATAGCAATGTATTGTTTAACTGAGGACATGCAATTTGATGGAGAACACATATAATGCAATATCTCCGGTTGAAAATAAAGAACCGCGCGAAAGAAGAAAGTATAATAATAATAATAATAATAATAATAATAATAACTAGCCGAGATACCCGGTGTTACACTGGTGTACCTGGCTGCAATTGTATAACCGCACCTCCCTGTATACCCGCATCCCTTGTCGAGAAATATCTGCTTGCGTCTCCGCTTGTATGCATCTTCTGTTACTAAGCTACCCCTATCTTATCTTTTTTACCGTATGTCCTTCGCAAGTTTTTGATTATTCCTCATAAAGGAATTCCATCGATAAAATCTTGTTGTGTGGTCGTTGCCCTGGGTTAAATTGTTTCAATGTTTTAGATAGTCAGTAAATTTCCTATGGCCATATTAGCATTTAAATAGTATGGCGCTGTTCATTAAATCTAATAATGAAACAAAAAACAGGGATGAAGCGTCAGAGCTTGATTCAGCTGCAAGTGTAAACGCTTGAACGCCCCCCTCCTTCTTCGCACATTTACTCTAAAGCTGGGCTTAATAAGACGTTCTTCGGGAAATTTTTCCCTTTTAAAGCTTCAATAATCCTTTTCAAACAATATTTGCATCAAAGGTTGTTCGGATGTCAATTTAGGATGGAATCATATGAAGAAGCTATTGGCTAAGTGTCAAAAGCCGATTTTGGACCTAGTTTGTCGCAGATTTCGTCCACTTAACTGAAATAATCTAAACCAAGCATTTACGCAAGACAATTTGTGCGTCATATGTAATTTACAGGACTACGTTGGAAAGCATCGGATGAAAAACCAGGGAGTTATGGCCTAAAAACTGGCTATTTGAACAGTTTTTTCGTGGTTTTTCGTTATACACGCGGAAACGATCAGGACTAATACAGCTCATTTCTTATTTCTTGCCTGATGGCAAATTTGTTTCGACGTGTTTGAAGAAAATCAGATAATATATATATATATATATATATATATCTCTCTCTCTATATATATATAAAAATATATATGAGTATATATACACACACATATATATATATATACTCATGCATATATATATATATATATATATATATCTCGTGCACAATCTATAACCTAATCAATGAGTGGTATATATTTATATATACTATATTCATGAGGCTAATTGTGTACCAAATATATTGTTTAAAATTTACTATATATATGTTTATATCTATCTTCTCTCTCGCGCTCTTTATCGCTATATATATATATATATATATATATATATTATGGGCATAATCAAAACAAGACTCGTACTTACATATCTATATATGTAGATATTTGGTTTTGATTAGGCCAGTGTTGTGCCCAGTCGTAGATAATTAGAGTTTGTTTGTCCGGCTGGACTTTTCACCTGACCTCGTCTGTTGTATATTTTCAATGATTAACCACACCTCATGATCAGACCAACATTCGACCTTCCTTCCTTTTATTTATTTTTAATTTATTTCATTCATCGCTTTTCTCTTATTTCCCGCTTTTCTCTTATTTCCCGCTTTTCTATTCTTTTCTCCCTCCACCTCTTTGGCTTGTTTTCTAATCTTCTTCTTCTTCTTCTTCTTCTTCTTCTTCTTCTTCTTCTTCTTCTTCTTCTTCTTCACTCTGGTCTTTGACTTCGCACCAAAATAGCTCTCTTCACGTCTTATTCCTCAACCTATTTTCATTAGCCCACCGCTTTTCGTCATCCTTCGCAATATGTAGAGATTTACTTGATCCTTCACCCAGACACAAGGTCATTTTTTTAACGTGGGGACCCGAAAGTGTTTTCACTCTGGCCGTTGGTCCAAGCTGGTCTTTCCTGGTCATAGCTTGTCCGAGCTGGTCTAGGCTAATCAGAGCTGGTCATACTTGGTCCGAGCTGGGCCAAGCTAGTCAAAGCCATGATACTACCAGTACATAGACGGATCCCTGTGCCAGGTAAGTATTCCGTCGCAATAAATAATAGGAAATCTTTTTGCGCATTTTGCATCTTGCCATTCAGTATGAGTTTGTTGTCTTCTCGTCGTATTTTGCACGTTCGTTTTCCAACCTTCTTGTTTTGTCTATAATTTTTGTTGTCGCTAACTTTGAGAAGCGTTAATCAATAATATACCAAATTCGAAAAGAAGAGGACAGAAATGAAGAGCACTTCTTTTCTTTTTTCTCTATAACTTCTTTTCTTTTTTCTGTATATCTTTTGTGTTGTTTTTCTTCTTTCTTTCTTTCTTTCTTTCTTTCTTTTGTGTTCTCTTTCTTTCTCTTTTTGCGTTCGCTTTCTTCATTTGCTTCTTTAGATATCCTTCTCTTTTTTCATATCATCTTTCTATCTCTTTTTGTGTTCTCTCCCTTCATTTCTTTCTCTTTTTATGTTCGCTTTCTTTCTTTCTTTTTTTGTGCTCGCTTTCTTTCTCTTTTTGTGATTTCATCTTTCTCTTTTTAATGTTCACTTTTTCTCTTTTTGTGTTGTCTTCTTTCTGTTCTTCCTCTCTTTCTTTCTTTCTTTCTTTCTTTCTTTCTTTCTTTCTTTCTGTTGCTCAAAGAACATATAATTGTATTATGGTCCGGTTCCTTGTACCACGGTGATAGTCCAAGGTAGAAAAAATAAAGAACAACTCGAACACAGGTATGGAATAACACAGATATATTACAAACAGGAATATATACAGAGAAGTAGAAGTGTTAGTATGAACAATCAGATTTAGTAGAGAGAACAATGTAGTCTCGACCAGTGTCACTATTCTAATGCCTTGCAGTAATTGTCCGAACACGACTCTGTTTCGGACTGCCTCTGACTCGACTCTTGACTCGACTTGAACTACTGACTCGACTTGAAATACTGACTCCACTGACGATATTCAGTCACCCACCACGAGGGCGTCACGTGGCACAAGGCCTTTTTAAGGTGGGCTCTCCGAGACCGTGGACTCGGCCAAAAATATGCCCATTGAACCCGTATAAACGGGTTCAGGGTCGATTTATCTCCCTGAAAGAGAATCCGCCCTTCGGCGTAGCCTCCTTCGGGTTCCTCCCCGCCCAAAGGCTGAGAGTTCAACCGTTCAGCCGGTCGACTGACTCCACGGACGATATTCAGTCTCCTACGCACTGGGGCAACATATGACACAAGGTCGGTTATTTATTGTGGGTTATCCGAGCCCGTGGGATCGTCCCCAAAATATGCCCATTGAGCCCGTATAAACGGGTTCAGGGCCGATCTACCTCCCTGAAAGAGACTCCGCCCTTCGGCGTAGCGTCCTTCGTGTTCCTACCGTCCGTAGGAAGAGAGTTCAACCGAACAGTCGCTCAGAAAGTACTGACTCGACTGACGATATTTAGTCACCCCCACCCACGAGGGTGTCATGTGGCACAAGGCCTTTTTAACGTGGGCATTCCGAGCCCGTGGGCTCGGCCAAAAATATGCCCATTGAGCCCGTATAAACGGGTTCAGGGCCGGTCTACCTCCCCGAAAGAGACTCCGCCCTTCGGCGTAGCGTCCTTCGTGTTCCTACCGTCCGTAGGAAGAGAGTTCAACCGAACAGTCGGTTCAGACTTGAACTACTGACAATATTCAGTCACCGCCCACGAGGGTGTCATGTAGCACAAGGCCTTTTTAACGTGGGTATTCCGAGCCCGTGAGCTCGGCTAAAAATAGGTCTATTGAACCCGTATAAACGGGTTCAGGGCCGGTTTTACCTCCCCGAAGGAGACTCCGCCCTTCGGCGTAGCCTCCTTCGGGTTCCTCTCCGTCCGTAGACAGAGAGTTGAACCGAACCGTCGCTCAGAAAGTGAGCGACGGACTATATTTAGTCGTCCCCCACGAGGGCGTCATGTGGCACAAGTCCTTTTTAACGTGGGCATTTCCGAGCCATTAGGCTCGGCCAAAAAATAGCCCATTTGAACCCGTATAAACGGGTTCAGGGCCGATTTACCTCCCGAAGGAGACTCCGCCCTTCGGCGTAGCCTCCTTCGGGTTCCTCCCGCCCGAAAGCAGAGAGTTAAACCGAACCGTTCGCTCAGAAAGTGAGCGACGGACTCTCTGCCTACTCCTGCAGTATTTATTACGTATGGAATAGTCCATTATTATTATTATGGGTAAGATCCCATAACAAATTGCGATAACAAAATGTACAGATGTCTAACACTTTTTAATGCACGATTAACATGATTTACATAATGAAAATATTTTAAAACTCACTTTCCTTCCTTCCTTCCTTCCTTCCTTCCTTCCTTCCTTCCTTCCCCTTAGAGTATTTCGTTGGATACTCACTTCGTATCTTCTTCTCGCTTCTTTTTTCCGCTTTTTAATTTCCCCCAAGTTTAATTTTTTTCTCTCTCGCTGCGACCAGCAAACTCGAAAGTCATAAACTGCAAAATTTCTTAATTCTTAATTATATGTTTTTTTTCTTCTTCTCATTTCTCGATTCTAAATATGGAAGACAGTTCGAAACATTTGTAACTGTAAGGCGAAAAATATTTTGAAAATTGATCGCCTTCTTTTATTTTCTTTTTACTCCAGATCAAATCCCACAAGGATACTAAATATTAACGTTTAATTTCTGACGTTCAACGGAAGAAAATTCTCCGGAGATGGGAACAAACCTTGCATTTGCTTAGACGTTTTCACAATGACACACAATTGTGACGTCGTCCCCTGGTCGCAGCGCCAACTGTGACGTTCTATTCTGGTCTACCACGGCACCAACTGTGACGTCCCTAAACAGCACCAATTGTGATGTCCTCGCCGCGGCGCCAGCCGTTCTCTCCTCGCTGCTTCGCTCGGGTGTCGCTGCTCCAAATGTGACGTCCGCCTGTCGCGTCAGTCGTGTTGTCTCGTTCTGTGACGACTAACTGGCTTCGTATCGGTCGCGGCACCCAAATGTGACGTTCTAACCTTTTGGTGATTCGTGTGGGAATCTGGTTAGATTTGATATCAGCCTCGTCGTTCCCAACTCGCTTCCAACGCCTGGTTACCAAGGTAACTGCATTGATCTCCAGTCTGCCTACCCACGTTGTGAATTGATCTTAGGCAGACGAGATCAAACAGTGCTTGGGGCCGTAATGCAAACCGAGTTCGACGGGGGTGATACCACAAAAATATGCATAAAATAAAATAAAATGAAAACTCAAAAGTTCAAAGTATCAAAGAAAAAGGTAACAAACTTTATGTCAAGTTGTTCGATACATAGGACTGCATCTATCTCCCTACCCGTTCTATGGATTGTGACACGTTGTTTTCCGTTAGGCAAGTTTTAACGCTTCAAGTCGTTTGCTCTCTAAGAAATTGGTGTTTCGGTGTGTCTTTGGACGAAAGTCGAAAAAAACTTATTGTGGTGGTCTGGATCTAAGTCGCTCTTCAAAATAATTGTTCTTGGGTTGAAGAGGAGTCCGGAATTTGCGTGAATCTTGGTCAGCTATCTGCGAGGCGGCTTTGGAGACTGAGACTTCGCTCAAACTCCAACTCAAACTGAAATTCACTGGAACTGATTTCTGCTCGTTGTGGCTTCGCTTATATGGACGCCGACCAAAACCGGGGTGGGTCTGTCGGCGTCGGGGTTTCCTCGATAATTCTAAATACATATCCACCTCTCTGGTTAGGAATTTCCACTTTTTTTCCATTTTTGGGAATCTTTCCTCCCCCACCTTCTCACCATACTTCAGAGGGCGTGAACTGCCCTCCCCACTTCTTCGTAGCAGCTTCTCATACCTACACTCTGGATGGGCGGCGACAGCCTTCTTCGTGCGTCACGTGATCACCACTTGACCAATGATGTCTTAGTCGGGCGTGGACGAATCCGCGGTTTTGTTTCAGAAAAAAAAAATATCTTGCTTAACTAAAAAAAAAATTATCCCTTCTTTTCCTTTTCTTCCTCTTAATCGCCGTTATCATTTCTCTAGCCGCAAACGGGACAATATGAACAATGGCGGTCATAACTCTTGTTCTACACGTGGTTTTCGTCAGGTATTTTATCGCTAATTATCCGAATGGGTGGTCTTCTTAACACGGCCAACGTCGCCCCGAAAAGACATTTCTAAATTCCCATTCATTTCCCTTCGGTACATATTTCTGATAACATAATTTTATTATCGCAGGCCAAGGATGTTCCGTCGAAGGAAATCGGTCAGCGGACACTCGTGGGTGGCTTTTAATTTTTTCATATCTGTCCAAAGTTCTTTTAGTTGCCTGTTTTTCGTCAATTATCGAAATAACATTTTCATTTGAATTTTTCTTTGGCCAGTCGGTCTGTAGTTGATAATAAGACGCCTTCCCGTACCAATAGTTTGTTTTCATATCCTTAGATAACACAGCCGTCGCCAAAACATATCTGGTTCTTTCTTTCTTTACCTTTTTTTTTTTACTCAGAATTTCCCTGTCATTGTAATGACACCCTTTCGCCATTTGTTACTTGTCAAAATATCCCTTATCCATTGCCTCTTAGCCGTGTGTGTATTCTGCTTATCATCCACAATTCGGTCCTTAGCCTCTCCTTTTCTTCTTTTCTTTTTTTGCCTCGTTAAATGGTGCCACAATCCTCCCCTAACCGATTTGTCATTTACCCGTAAATGACACCTAAACCCAAATACACCATTTAACATGCATCATGCATTTGTCCCATGCAATTCTATACTATTTTCCTACATGCAATGTAATGTTCTCTTTCAACTTCTTTTGTTCTACATGCAATGTAATGTTCGTTTCATCTTCTTCTGTTCTACATGCAATGTAATGTTCTTTTTCATCTTCTTCTGTTTTACATGCAAGTGTAATGTTCTTTTTCAAGTTCTTCTATTCTATATGTAATGTAATGTGTGCGTGTGCCTGTGGGTGCAGATGTGGTTACTATGGCTTGTTCTTCTTGGTCAATGTTTTCCTCTCCGCTGTCGGAGGTTTTTCCGCCGCACGTGGCGGTCTCACGCCAGCCTCCTCCGCTGGTCTTCCTGCAATTTCTTCGCCGATTCTGTATGAGTAAGGAACACTGCTCGGCATCTGCCTCTCGAGTTGTTGCATGCTCATTGGATTGTCGTTCGTTAATCTCCTCTTACTCTTAATCTTCCATATTACTATACCCCCGATGGCTATAACTATGAATGTACCCATCACTATCGACCAACTTATCGCGATCTGCTCATCGTCTTCCCAAGCCATACCTTCATTTTTCAACGCAATTAACTTGTCCCTCAATTGATCCATATCGATCTTTTCTATCGGCTTCATTAGTACTGGCATTTTATTCAAGGTAACATTGGAGAATCCCTTCACTATTGGCTCCCACAATTCTGTACAATTGACTAAGCCTCTGCCAATCATTTCTATGATTGAATCTTTTCTTCATATCTTTCTTCTTCCTGGTAATAGGGGGTAAGGAAATAGATATCCCAAATGCCGAACATCCCATGGGTAACTTTAACAGGGATAATGGTGGTCTTACTCTTAATGTCCTTGTGGACTCTCCCCCACATATCCTAGACAAGCTGATAGGTTTCTGTGTGGCTACTGCCCACACCCCGTCTGAAACACTGATAGCTTGTGGTAATGCCGTGTTTGCTAATACCTCCACTTGGCAGGTTCTTTTAATTCCTTCTCTCTT